AATTTTATGTCAATATCATTATTATTATCTCAGTTTCTTGACCTATTATAATTAACAATACTAGTTAAAAATTAGTGAAAACAAAATTTAACCAGTAGATTTGGCATGTCGGGTGATAACAGTGATTTGTTTTTGAAAGTGTATATATACCAGTGATCTCAATATTTCACTGTTCAATATTCTTGTTGTTTTCCACAAACTAAAGACCCAAATGTAAAACAATGCTTTTTTTTTTTTAAAGAAATAGCTGCAAAAAAATAAATATAATTAAAAAGTGAATCCTATAACCTATATATAACATGATATTTTTGTGCTCTGTTTATCTCTACATGAAACTTACTTGTCTTTGCTGGGCACAGTTCCACATTGTGTTTTGTGTCCGTCTTCATCCACAACCCAAGCACGCCACAAACCCGGAACATTGTTGAACATGGTATTGTCTACATATAAAATATCTTTCTTGCGAAATCTTAGGTCAGTGGAATCCCCTACATCCCCCAGGCGATCAAATAAAGCACGGATGTAAAAACTATCTCCTGGTTGATCTTGAATTTCCTCATATCCTAAAAAAAAAAATGCCAGAGTTCTTAATATTAAAATAATATGTTATGAAATGCTGTATGACCCTTGTGGGTTTAGCATTTACTTTGATTATAATAATGATATGAAAAATTTATTTAAAGAGCATTATTAAAGAAGGATGTTTGTATAAACGGTAATTTTTTAGGAAGACTTATGGCATTCATAAGAATATAAGAAAGAAGGAACACTGCAACAGGCCTATTGACCCATGTGGAGCAGGTCCATGTCCACCCCCCTCCCAGATCAGCCCAATGACCCACCCAGTCTGGTCACCTCCACTCAAGGAAGGAGCATGGCACCAGACCCAGCAGCGCAAGCTAGTCAGGTCCAACTCACACCCACTCATGTATTTATCTAACCTATTTTTAAAACTACGCAACGTTTTAGCCTCAATAACTATACTCGGGAGTTTGTTCCACTCATCCACAACTCTATTACCAAACCAGTGCTTTCCTATATCCTTCCTGAATATGAATTTTTCCAACTTGAAACCATTGCTGCGAGTCCTGTCTTGGCTGGAAATTTTCAGCATGCTATTTACATCCCCTTTATTTATTCCTGTTTTCCATTTATGCACCTCGATCATATCCCCCCCTAATTCTACGCCTTTCGAGAGAGTAGAGATTCAGGGCCCTCAGTCTATCCTCATAGGGAAGATTTCTGATACATGGAATCATCTTTGTCATCCTCCTCTGTACGTTTTCTAGAGCATTTATATCCATTCTGTAATACGGTGACCAGAATTGAGCAGCATAGTCTAAATGAGGCCTAACCAAGGATATATAGAGTTGAAGAACAACCTGAGGAATTCTATTATTTATACTTCTAGATATGAAGCCAAGAATTCTGTTAGCTTTATTGCGAACACTAATGCACTGTTGTCTTTGTTTAAGATTACTGCTAGCCAGAACTCCTGAATTCTTTTCACAATCAGTAGTATTAAGATCTACATTATTTAGTTTATATGACACATGGTTATTTTCCTGTTCAACATTTAGAACTTTGCATTTGTCTATATTAAACTGCATCTGCCACTTCTCCGACCATTGTCTATATTAAACTGCATCTGCCACTTCTCCGACCATTGCATCAGTATATTCAAGTCATCCTGGAGTGCTCTAGTGTCCTCATTAGAATGAATTGGACAGCCTATTTTGGTGTCATCAGCAAATTTGCTTATGTCGCTATTTATTCCCTCATCTATGTCATTTATGTAAATTGTGAACAACAACGGGCCCAACACTGACTCCTGAGGAACACCGCTTGTGACGTGCCCCCATTCTGATTTCTCCCCATCTTAATTATTTTTTGGTGATTCCTACAAAAATTCTGATATATGTACATACTGATATTTTTCCTTTTCAAAACGTTACTATAATATCAACTTAGTATTTGAATGAGGCTAAACTTACTTTGGTAATTGTACTGCACCAACATTTTAACATTATCAGCAGGCTTAGCCAACTCAGAAGCAGCTTGTTCTGCTGTTGCATGGCGGAGATCTACACCATTGTACTCGAGGATGTGATCACCAGGTCTTAGCCCAGCCTTGGCAGCAGGGGAGTCTGGAGGAACTGCATGAACAAAGATGCCTAGGGCATTTCCTCCAACCATCTGGATACCCAGATTATGGGACTTGTTGAGCTCCAAATACACAACTCTTGGTTCACAACTAGTGTTACCCATGTTGCCACCACTACCACTGCCGCCACCACCTGAGTTGCTTCCACCTCCACTACTGCCACCACCAATGCTGCCGCCTCCACCACTGTTCTCACTACGTCTGGAAATGAATAACATGCTATGTAACCTTACTTAAATATATTCTACATGGGAGGAAATTTGTTTAATGTCCCTGTGAATCACTAAATGATTTTTCATACACATCAATGACCACATTAATCTTTTTTATATTAAACTACTATACTTAGCATTTCTTCTTTGAATGTTCATACAGTATGATTAATAACTATGATCACAATGCTAAATGAAAAACTTGAAAATTTCAAAGTACAACTACAGTAACTGCTGACAATGTTACTATAGCATAAATACGAGATGGATAACAACACAAATGCAGTGTATATAATGTGATCCTTTACTGACAATGTTTCGTCCACACAGTAGACTTTATTAAATAAAAAACAGCTCTGTTTGTGACTTGATGAAGACAAAGAATGTTATCCATAGAGGCACTAAAGAATATGTATCACAGTAGTACCAACACTTAATATGGGTGTGAAACATGCGTTTTAAATGTTGTAGCAAGGAGGCTATAGGAAGTAGAGATGTCGTGTCTGAGGGAAATACAGCATTACTTTGCTATAACTTGTAGTAGTTCCCCACTCTTTATACTGAAATAGAATAAATGAAGGCAAATAACATACCTTGAAAAAGTTTCTTGCCTTTTCAGAGTATTCATGACATGAGTAATTTCTGGACGAGTAAGAGTAGATCGTGCCGAGGGTGGCAAGGAATGATCAAGGGAATGCTCTAAAGTATCACGGAGGTCTAAAGGTCCTCTTAATGTGGATGTAGTTGAAGGGGAAAGGTCTTCATCATCAACAGAGTGAGTGGCTTCATGTGTAGCTGGTTTAGGAGAGTTGCGTGGAGTTGGTGTGCCGGAACGTGACCCGTCGATACTGTTTCCACTGCTGCTGCCCTCCCATCCCTCAGCTTCATGATATTCTGTTGACAATGACAAAAAAAAAACTGAAGTACAAACAAAATGATAACATGCTAATAACCCTCATGGGTTTATTGCTTAGTTATGATTATAATAATAAAATGCTAATTAATACTGTTTCATTAGTATTCCAGTTACTTCATTCCAGCAGATTATTCCTGTTGTATGAATTTCAAAAATAATTTTTATTAAAACAAAAGCAACTGACCACTCATGCCCCCAACGGTAATACTCACTCTCTGGGTTGTACTGAACAAGCATGTAGACAGATGTACCACACTGGGAGAGTACTGTGGAGGCTGACTGTTTATTGGCTGATCGCATGTTGATACCACATACTTCTAATAGTTGATCTCCAACACAAAGACCAGCCTATAAAAACAAATATATTAGAGCAAATTCTTTCATTAAATCAACAACTGTCTTCCCTATTCACCAGTAGATGTTCATGAAAGTTCTTGCACTCTGCCATTTCATACTATACCCTGAAGAAACTATTGTATATCTTCGATATCTTTTCTCTGTACACACCTGTAAAGACTGACCACATTCACACATTTCAATGTTTTCAAGTATTAAGAGAATAGAGAGAATATCAAACCCCTGTCAAAGTATTCTACCATATGCTTATACCAAGAAACAAAAATGCACAAAAATATTGAAAACAAGCATTATAATAAAGGTTAATTATCCCTTATCCGAAATTCCAAAATTCGAAAAGCTCCGAAATCCAAAATTTTTTTTTGAGCATCAACAGGAAGTCACAAACAGAAAAGTCCAAAAAAGCTCTGGGGAGGTTCAGAGGCCTGCAGATACCCCTATGAGTACTAGTGACAAGAAAAAATAGTGTAGTAACCTTTTAATCAAAACTGGCATCATTGGTGGAGGCTGAAAGTACACAGGTATTTTGCCTATGTTCCTGTGCCTTTATTTGTTTTTCTTGTAATGCAGCGGCCATCTCCCATCAAAGTAAGGCGACTCAAAAAAGAAGAAAAAATTCATCATCATTCACTCCATCACTGTTTTACCAGAGGTATGCTGATAACAAATATGCAAATATCCCCACTTCACTTTCAGAGTGCAGGCATTGTACTTCCCGCTTCCAGGATTCAAACCTGGCTAACCGGTTTCCCTGAATCCCTTCAGAAAAGTTACCGTGCTTACATTCCTACAGCATGTCCATTAACATCCACTTGTCTCCATGCATTCCTGTCTAACACACACACATAATTCTGCTGGATACTCAAGTCTCTAAAACTCAAAGCCTCCTGTACCCCCATCCCTCTTTCCAACTATTTCTGGGATGACCCCTTTCCCTCCTACCATTTGCTCCCATGTATACACTCTCTGCCAACCAGTCCCTCTCCATCTTCTCAACATGCCAAACATCCTTATGAAAGTGTTGGTACCACTATATTCTAGTACATTTTCTTTTTTTGCCACCACAATAATCTATGGTGCTTTCTTTCCAAATATACTTCAACACCTTGCCCACCTTTTTTTTTTGCCCTAAGGTTCACCTCATTTTTAATACACATCTACTGACATCTCCACACCCAAATATCTAAATACATCCACTTCCTCCATAATCCCTTCCTCTAGTCTGATATTCAGTCTATCAATACCTTGACTTTTTGTTACCCTCATCACCTTGCTCTTTTCTACACTCACTTAATTTCTTTGTTTTACAATCCCTCCCAAATTCATCCACCAGTGTTTGTAACTTGTCTTCAGAATCCCCTAAAACTGTGTCATCAGCAAAGAGCAACTGTTTTGACTCCTATATTGAACTAGATTCAGAATCTATAAATCCCACACCCCTTCCCAACACCCTAGCATTTATTTCTATCATAACCTTGGATCTATATGTTAAATAACCATGGTGACATACTGCATTCCTGTCTAAATCTTACTTTCACTAGGAAATCTTCCCATCCCTCCTACATACCCTCTTTTAACTGCTTTTAGCACCCTATCTCCTAGCTGCTGTACCCAGTTTCATTCTACCAACTGCTTCACATACTTTCTGCAAACCAGGCTCCTCCTCATTCCTATTATGCTAAGGTGTTGGGAAGAGGGGTGGGATTAAATTATGGGGAATCAAATACAAAATGGGAGTTGACACAGTTATTTTTTATGATGATACTGTGCTTTCAGGGGATTCTAAAGAAAAGTTGCAAGGTTAGTGGACAAGTTTGGGAGGGCGTGTAAAGGTAGAAAGTTGAAAGTGAGCATAGGTAAGAGTAAGGTAATGAGGGTATCAAACAATTTAGATGAAGAAAAACTGGATATCACATTGGAGGGAGTGAATATTTTCAGATACTGGGAGTTGACTTGTCAGTGGATGCATTTATGAAGGATGAGGTTAACCATAGAATTCATGAAGGAAAAAAGGTGAGTGGTGTTTTGAGGTATCTGTGGAGACAAAAAAATTATCCATGGAGGCAAATAAGGGAATGTATGAGAGTATAATGGTATCAACACTCTTATATGGGTGTGAAGCATGGGTTGTAAATGCTGCAGTGAGGAGGTGGCTGGAGGCAGTGGAGATGTCCTGTCTAAGGGCAATGTGTGGTGTAAATATTATGCAGAGAATTTGTAGCGAGGAAATTAGGAGGAGGTGTGGAGTTACTAAAAGTATTAGTCAGAGGGCTGAAGAGGGGCTGTTGAGATGGTTTGGTCATTTAGACAAATGGAACAAAGTAGAATGACTTGGAGAGCATATAAATTTGTAGGAGAAGGAAGGCGGGGTAGGGGTCGGCCCCGAAAAGGTTGGAGGGAGGGGGTAAAGGAGGTTTTGTGGGCAAGGGGCTTGAACTTCCAGCAAGCATGTATGAGCATGTTAGATAGGAGTGAATGAGATGAATGGTTTCTGGGACCTGACGAGCTGTTGGAGTGTGAGCAGGGTAATATTTTGTGAAAGGATTCAGGGAAACTGGTCAGCCAGACTTGAGTCCTGGAAATGGGAAGTACAATGCCTGCACTTTAAAGGGGGGGGGGGGGGGGGGAGTGATATTGGCAGTTCGGAGGGACATCTGAACTGTCGTATCTGGGCACCTCTGCAAAGACAGTGATTATGTATGAGTGATGGTGAAAGTGTTGAATGATGAAAGTTTTTTTCTTTCTTTCTGGGAGATGGCCAGCGTGTTAAAAAAAAAAATTATTATTATTATATTTACATATGAGCCTTAAACACTGTCTTCTAAGGTGTCAGTCAAAATCTTACCTGGGATGCCAGAGAGTTGATGGTGACGGAAGATACATAGACTCCTCCGTTCTCTAAGCAACGAATTTGGATTCCCAGTGGTTCTGAAGACTTTTCAATAGATATTGTTCTTATGTCTCCTGGGTTTGGTCTACTAAAAGAAAAGATTTTACTAAATTAATTGAAGCACAAAATATTAATTAAGGATGTGAAGTACTTTTTCTAAGCTAGTTACTTTTTCTATGAGCTTAATACAATTTCAATACTTTTACTGCTAACAAATTTAATAACTAATTTTTACTATTTTATTAATACTAAAACAAAAAATATATTGCAACTTCATGGCAATTCTTAAAAGCTTTTACAAAAGTGATAACATTGACAGAACACCAGAGAACTGTACTAATTTTAGTGTGTAATAAATAATGTTATCTATTCAGTGCTCCTTGTAATAGATACATAATTAACATACTTTCGCTGCCAAGGACATTCTTGGTAGTGTGGACTGTGGACTGAGTGTGTAATCTGGGTGATGTGTTGGGTCCCTCTACCTGCCATCCCACCACCACCAACCATCTCAACAGAGAAGCTGGAGGGCATGGGGGAGCCTCTTTCTGATGTCCGTTCAATACTGCTGCCTTTGCCCCCACTGCTTTTGCTGGCTACACTTGCATTACTTGGTATTCTGAAAATATTTTAAGACTAAGAGTAAAATACAGACTATTAGGTAACATGAAAGTTCAGGGAGTTATTGTATTCATGAGGAAGTAATAAAGCCATAAGGCTCATACAGAGCTTAGGGAGACAGACAATCAACTTTAATCTAAGAAAGAGGAGAACTGCTCTTTATTTCTTGAATCAAGAGCCTTCACCAACATGAACATATGTGCATTCAAAGACCCCCGGCACACGATGGCATCGGTATACGTTAAATCTGGCATACAATACATTTTAACGCAAAAATTTTGCCTCACCTCACACGACTCGTCTGAGCGTGCCTCAGCTGCCCCGTGGGTGCCGGTGTGTACAAGCCAGCCAGTGCGTCGCATCCACTCATACAATTGGAACATTTCATATTATCACAGCATTTTTAGTGACTGTACCTGCAAAATAAGTCACCATGGGCCGCAAGAAAGCTTCTAGTGCCAACTGTGCGGTAAAAAAGGTGAAAATTACTATGGAAATGAAGAAAGAGATAATTGCTGCTGCACCACGGTCAGCTGCTGCTACACCACGGTCAGCTGTTGCTGCACCACAGTCAGCTGTTGCTGCACCAGTCAGCTGTTGCTGCACCAGTCAGCTGTTGCTGAACCACAGTGAGCTGCTGCTGCTGAACCACAGTGAGCTGCTGCTGCACCATGGTCAGCTGCTGCTGCACCATGGTCAGCTGCTGCTGCACCACCATCAGCTGTTTCCGGCCAACATGACTCGTCCTGAACCTGTCCATCCAGCCCTGCCGTCATTGTTTACAAGCCATGGTGGCCGCTTGCATGCATACATTCGATACATTTTGTATTATTCCATTGTTTATAGTGCTTGTAACTGCTAAATAAGCCACCATGGACCCAAAGAAAGCTTCTAGCGCCAACCCTGTGGTAAAAAGAGTGAGAAATATGTACTATCGTACCACGATCAGCTGCTGCTGCACCACGGTCAGCTCTTGCTGCACCAGTCAGCTGTAGATGAACCTCGGTGAGCTGCTGTTGCACCACTGTCAGCTGCTGCTACACCACCGTCATCTGTTGCTGCACCACGGTCAGCTGGTCCTAGTAGCATTAAAAGAAGAAGGGAAGTAACCCCGGAAAAGGACGTGTTACCTAAAGTCCTAAACATTAACAACTTCCATACTCTCCCCTCCTCCCATCCCATCAATCATCACCAGATCTTCAATAAAGGTAAGTGTCAGTTTGTGTTTATTAAAATTAATATTTCATGTGGTAAAAATTTTTTTTTTCATACTTTGTGGTGTCTTGCACGGATTAATTTGATTTCCATTATTTCTCATGGGAAAAATTTATTCGCCTTACAATAATTTTGGCATACAATGAGCTCTCACGAACGGATTAATATCGTATGCCGGGGGTCCACTGTACTTATACTGTAACAGCTAAACAGCGTTACTCTTTCAAGTGACTGTTCTCATAAACAGCTACTATGACAGATTTAGTTTAACAATCAAAAAGCATACCTGATACGCTCATCCTCCTTGCGGGACATGGTGCCCAAAGAGCGCTGATAGCTATGGTAAGATGGCGGACAGGAATGGTGAGGTAGTGGTGGTGGTTCATCTGATGCTGAGCGATAAGGATGAAGATGCCCAGTACGTGGTTTATGATGCCCTGGAAGTTCAAAGGATGGTGATGGTGAATGGTACAAGACTCCACTGCCTACTGTTCCAATCATGCCAATAGGTGATGATGCCTGTCGACTTTCATAATATACACGTATGTCTCTATCACGCTCTGAACCAGGGGAATGAAGGATACTGTCCCCACTTCGAGATGATGGAAGATAACTTGAAGGACCAAGTGGGAATGAAGGCGGTGATGAGTAGCGTGGAGACACGGCAGCCACAGATGAACCAATTGTGCTGTGTGGATATGCATGTGTATGTGTTAAGGAGAAATGTGAGAATGGCGTACACGGAGCAAATGTTGGCGGTGATCTCAGAGCTGGAGTGGGTGGAGAATACAACCCTGCATGTGGGTGATGTATGCGAGAATGTGAAGGTGTGCGGTCTCCTCCATGGTGGAGGGCAGATGGTCTTGTCCCATAACCAGGAAGTACAGTTAAAGACTGAGGTGCATTAGGATCAATGGGGCTTATATTACTCTCACTGTCACTCTGAGGGCTTTTTATAATATTCTTTTTTACATAATATTCTAATTCTTCCTTTCCAACATTCCCTGATCTTACAGAGAAGTCTAAGGATGTATCAGAGGGTGTAAAAGAACTCAAACGATCTCCTCTGTCTCTTTCTGAATCTTCACTCTTTCTATCCAATGATGGATTTCTGGGTCCACCACTAGAGTACAACTCCTGACTGGGATAAATATTGCTAGAAGACTGTGGACTGGAATAAACCTGACCTGCACTACTATAAGAACAAGTTTTTCCACCACCATCATGACTTTTATATATAGAGAATTGTTGATTGCGAGGACTTGTTGGCGTGCCCCGAGGACTTGAACTTGATCTGGAACTTGTATGTTTTTCATGATGATACGATTCATAGGGTTTCTCTTCATGTGAATATGGTGACATATTTGGAGAAGGTAAAAACACAGAAAATGGTGGTCTCTCTTTTCTACGCTGAGTGTACACAACAGTTCCTGAGTTTGCATCCCAAGTATTGACACCTCCCCCTCTGTATTTTGGCCAGGTTCCTCCCGACTTCTCCTTTTCACGCTTTTTAGATCGCTTAGTCGTGCTTGTGCCCCCATTACTTCCACTTTTGTGATGGTAAGAATTATTCACTGAATCTAACTGAGCTATTGCACTTTCAGTTTCATGATCTAATACAGAGGTGATGTGTTTCTTCTTTTCCTCTTTGTCTCTACTTTCACTACGACCCTCTCCACGTTCTTTGCTGTGGCGTCTAGGTCTCACCATATTCTTGAAGAGATCTAGAGGTCCTGTTCCAGACCCTTTTTCCCCAGTAGCTTTTGTAACATTGTACACCACTTTCTCACTGCTTCCATATCTCTTACCACTACTGTCCTCATTATGTGAGCCACCTGATCCTGGAATAAGTTTTTTCACAAGTTCACGACTTCCTGATCGTCCTGGACTAACCCCCGAATCTTTAGCAGGCGAAGTAGGGGAAGAATAGGGTCTTGAGGAAGAAGTTGATTTATCATCCTCGGTGATATTGTGACCACTAGAAGAAGAGCTGAGTGGTGCTGAGAGTGATGAGGAACCATGGGACTTAAGTGTAGTAAGCTGCACCACCTCTCCAGCTGAATCTAGTAAACACTGAGCTTCCTCACAGCTGCCTAAATTATCTATAGGTTTGCCATTTATCTGAAAAAGATAAAACACTTACTAATAATGAAAAATAACTTATAATGATACAGTACAATTTTGTTTTTTCAATGCACTAGCCATATCCCACCAAGGCAGGGTAACCTAAAAAGAAAAATGAATGTTTTCTTTTTAAATTTAGTAATTTATACAGGAGAGTAGGTTACTAGCCCCTTGCTCCTGTCATTTTAGTTGCCTCTTACAGCACACATGGCTTATGGAGGAAGGATTCTTTTCCGCTTCCCCATGGAAACAGTACAAAATATTTAAAAAAAAAAAAAAAAAAAAAAAAAAAATCACACTTTAAGAATGCAAGTTTTTCATTCAATAGATATCCGTAATATATTACATTTAATTTATTTTAAATGAAACCTTTGAAAAAGTGTCCATGAGGCTTACATTAAGCACTCTATCTCCAACAGCCAGATTGCCCTCTCTTGCTGCTGGACTTCCAGGGAGAATATTTGCAATGTACACCCCAGTATGAAGTGTCAGTCCATGATGTGAGGTATGTGGGCAGTGGAGGTGCACTGTGTGGAGACTACGACCTCCGCTGCGTCTTCGTCTCACTGTTATTTCCACCAATCCACCACCACTAGCCACTGTTGCATATACACTGCTACGATCCACTCCCAGGCAGTCTTTACCATTTAATCTAATTATTTGGTCATGTACCCTGAGAAAAGTAGAAAATAATTACTGCAACAATGTGTATAAATCTATGGGTGACATAAAAAAAAGTATAAATCTGTGTAAAATTCCATGTAAATAAAAATTCACCAAAATTTCAAATAGTTTGATAAGGAAACTGAAAGATGTACAAGCATAAATAAATATACAGGAAAAAAAATCACTGGTCAAATGCCTTTAAATTTCTATGCAGTATTGATAATATTGTTACCACAATATTACTATACAAATTACATCTACGTGGTTTTGCTACTGTTATTTAAAGCATTATTAATGATAACCTTGGAATATTTTACAACTTCAATCCTACAAAGAGACTGTGTGACTTTGCTCTTCTGTTTTTGATCCCATAAACAAAGTACACTACAGGTACTGTGTGGTAGTATATATCTTTATAGTAGTGTACAAAATGTTTAATAATGTAAAGTTGTACTGTATTTCACTTATTCTGTTATCAAATGAGAAGACTGACAAAGCAAGTCAAAATATTAGTAATGATGTGAGTATAACCAATGACAGCTATAGCTATTCATGTTATATATTTACTGTTTGTGTAAGCAAATGCAGCATTGTATTCTTTCTGGAAAATATAGAGGCACATACTGTGGGAAGTATTTGATATACTGTAGATAAAACTGAGTTATTTTCTAAATTATTTTAAGAGAAGATGATACAGATGAGGAAGATGGTTGCTGCCAGGAGCTTGCATCATTCAGTACCACCAATGAATTATATTTATTGATCAAGCAAACACATGCAACACTGTATTTTGCTGGATTTTTAAAGAAAATGGTTACACAAGTGTTTGTTGTAGAAAAATTTGATAAATTATGAAGAATCCCACAAATCAGACTGTACCACACCATTAAATCTACAAAGAAAGCCATAATATACAGCATCCTGGATGATATTTTTTATATTAAACAATTACAGGTATACACTTTAGCAGTAACCACTATATTTTGCAATGTATTTCTTTTAGGGTTACACTACATTTTTTTGGGGGGGTGGAGGAGGGGGAGAATTTTGTACATAACTTTCAAAAAATAGCAATCACTAGCATTTTTTGTATATCTGGTATTCATGGTATATCTGGGAATCTAACCTTTATGATTAATGAAGTTTTACTGCACGTTGCTGCAACAAGAAAAAACTGCAAAGAAATGGCACATTAACTAATGTGCATCACAGACATTTAGTTGGTATTCCCTTCCAGGGGACAGTACAAACCCCTTAAGAGTCATTCAGTGTCTGGGAATGGGAGAGGGTAGGATAGGGGTTAATTAAATTTAATTTAGGGAAGGGAAAACTCTAATTCCATGGAACAAAGGCCCTTCCCTAGCATCAAAGCACCCTGCCCCCTTGAAGGCAAGAAGATTTAATGAGGCAAACCCCTAAGTGCTCATGAACAATCTTGCACATAAAAGAAACTGCCACATATAAAATTAGCACTTGCTACCTCCCCCTCAATGTACCAAAGCATGAAGAGAACCAAAAGATATCATACCTGAGTTTCCCTTCAAAAGGGCCATCTTTGGCAATACTTGTAACATAAATTGCTCCATCACTGCCCCCATAATGTGGATCATCCCGACCTCCAGCCACGACGAATCCAACATCTGATTCCGACACGACACCCTGGAATATAGTTTGAGAATAGTGATGGGATGACATCAAAATTTTTGACAGTACTGATACCGATATCCAGTTTTAGGCCAATACCAATACTGTACCATCAAAATTAGCTGATACCCTCTGATACTGGTACTTTGGCACACCTCTATTGTAGAACATAAAATACATTTTTGACATAAGCACACATGCATACTAACAGTTTTGAACTGAAAGCAATACACATCTCTAAATAGTGTGTGTTTGAATGAATCCTAAAATTCTAAGAAAAAATTATTTTGGAACATTATAAACATAAGGTTAATAACCAGAAAAAAATTAAGAAGATACAAAGAGAAAGAGATATCACAAGGCTACAGAAGGACTTTAACAGATCAAAAGAATAGTCGAGTATATTATTACAAAAGATTAACCCCATCAAGTACAAAGTAATATAATCAAGAGATGGAGAAAAGAAATCAGAGACAGAGTACCATGGCTCAGTTGGCAACGCACTCGCCTCATACGCCAAGTGCCCATGGTTCAATCCCTAGCATGGGTGGAAGCACTGGGCATTTTTCCCTACACCTGCTGGCCCTGTTCACCTAACAGTAAGTAGGTACCTGGGTATTAGTCGAGTGGTGCGGGTCACATCCTGGGGGACAAGATTGAAGGACCACAATAGAAGACATACAATCCTCAATGACACACTGACTTTCTTGGGTTATCCTGGATAGCTAACCCTTTGGGTTAAAAAATCTTAATCAATCTTATCTTATCTTACCACATGGAAATGGGAGCAATGACCCAAAAAGTCAGACAAAGAACTGGGAGTAACCATTACACTAAGCCTGTTTCCTGAAGTGCAAATATATACCAAAAACAGTAACATTTGCTAAGATAATAAATATGGAGATCTTTAAAAAGATGCCTTCAGGACATTTCACCACATACATACAAACAATCCTTGAGTAGAGAGAGTGTATAACAGCTGCTTTGGTAAAAAAAAAAAAATGGAAAAAATCAACAAATTCCCAAAATATACTGTATGAAGGACCTAAAATATCTCCGTAATTCTTCCACAACAGCCTTCACACCAATGCTAAGTCTTTCAGTATGGAACAGAAAATGATATATATAACAAGGAAGGGTGGAAATATGTTGAAGTTTTTGAGCTGTAGTGTCAACATGCCTCTGGCAAGACAATGATGGGGTGAGTGATGGTGAAAGTGTTATTCCTTTTTCAGGTCACCCTACCCTGGTGGAAAATGGCCGATGTGTTAAGGACAAATTTCAACTAATTTACTATGGGAAATTTAGAGAAATAACAAGTGAATGAGAGGACAAAATGCAATCATACTACTTCATAAAGTAGAAGTGAAATGTAATGGAACTGGAATAACCATGTTGGAAGATGCTTTATCGTAATCATTGATCAATGAACAGGTAAATCTCACATGGATGTAAAATACAAAAAGAATAAAAATAACGTGAATACTTCAGCCACTATCAGATACCTGCTTTATCTGCTGATGCCAAAAAATATAAATTAATGTAGGGACTTAACCCCTTCAGGGTCCAAGGCCCAAATCTGAAGTGGTGCCCCAGTGTCCAAGAATTTTCAAAAAAAAAAAAAAATTTGTTATTTTTTCTTATGAAATGGTAGAGAATCTTTTTGTGAAGGTAATAAGACAGAAAGTACGAAATTTGATGGAAAATTTACGAAATTATGCTCTCGCGAATTTTGATGTGTCAGCGATATTTACGAATTGGCGATTTTGCTGACTTTGACTCCCATTTTAGGCCAATTACATTATTCCAGTCAACCAAATTCTTAGGTATTTCACTAGTATTACTTCTATTCTATCGACTGAGCACAAGAAATCGCCAAGTCAACTGTTTCAACTACAAATTAAAGTGATCAGAAATTGTTAATTTGGCCAATTTAACACAAAGTTCAAAATATTCCAATTTCAAAATAGGGTCCAGAATAAACAATGTAGGTATTCCTGGAACTAAACTAACATTTCCTCTGTTCATTAGTTACGTTTTGAGGCTTTACAAATAAATTCCATTTTGATTTTTTATTCACATAATGAATTTTTATTCACACCAAAAAAATAGAAGATTTACTGTTATGCAATACTGTAATAATTGTATAAATATCATCACCATATTTGTGAATGCATATTAGACCCACCAGCTGGCGTGTATTAGACGTGTGAGGTCGTTTGTTTACTCTTGAATATCGGCAAAAATTTAACATTTCTGCTACTTTGAGCTCAGTTTCAAGCCATTTCCAGTGCTGAAACCAATCAAAATCATCTCTATTTCTGTAACATGTCTTCCATTCTATCAAATGAGACCAAGAAATCGCAAATACAACTATAATAAAACATACGAAAAAACACTGCAAAGTCTCTGTTTTAATTGAAAAATCATGATTTCAGTTTTTTTCTCTCATTATACACAGTGTGCTGCAGGATCTGTTTTATGTGGTGCACACATACCACATAGATGTATTCTCTCATATCTAGGCCCAAATGTACCACTCACAGTTTATCAGAGTGAGCTGAGCTCATGACGTAGATCTACGGTTTGGACCCTGAACGTAAAGCCGTAGATCTACGGGACGGACCCTGAAAGGGTTAAATGTTCATGCTGGAAAATTATACATTCAACGAACACCATAGTATTATCATCATAACATAGACAAAACTACATTAGAATGTCACAAACATAAAAGAAAACAAATGCAGGTTATCAACTTCATCTTACTAATAAAATGACAAACATTAATAAGAGGTAATTTTTGACATTAACTATTTATAATAAAATTTACAGAAATAACCAAATACAGTGGACCCCCCGAGTTTCGGCAGCCTCGACTTTCGCGAAATTCGACCTTCGGCGAGTTTTTTTGGAAAAATTTGGCCTCGAGTTTCATGAAAAAACTCGTGTTTCGGCGACCGTCCGGTACCTGTCCGCCTGTCACTGTGCACACAAAGCCAGTCTCCCACGCCATTCACGCTCAGTGTGCCACTGTTTACCAACACGTGACCATCACCCCGCAGGTTCATACAATACATTTCATAATAATCCATTGTTTTTTGTGCTTACAACTGTTAAATAAGTCATCATGGACCCAAGGAAAGCTAGTGCAAACCCTTTGGTAAATAAAGTGAGTGACAGGGATGTGGAAGAGTTGGTGGAGGACCACAGGGAAGAGCTAACCACTGACGAACTGCAAGAGCTTCAACTGGAACAGCATCAGACCACAGCCGAGGAACTTGCTTCAGAGGAGGAGGAAGAGGGAGTGGATGAGGTGCCTTCTTCAGTGATTAAGGACATGTGTGGAATGTGGAATGAGTTGCAAAGTTTTGTTGAAATGTATCACCCTGACCAAGCTGAAACAAGCCGTATCTGCAACATGTACAATGACAGTGTTGTGTCCCACTTCAGGGAAATCTTAATGAAACGCCAGAAAAAGACCTCTCTGGATAGATATTTTGTGCGCCACGGATCCAGTGATTCAAGTTGTTCCCAGTGGCATTAAAAGAAGAAGGGAAGTAACCCCAGATAAGGACTTGCTACCTTAAGTCCTAATGGAAGGAGATTCTCCTTTCAAACAATAGTGTACACCTTCCTCCTATCACCTCCTCCCATCTTCCATCCACCCAGAAGTCTTCAGTAAAGGTAAGTGTAATGTTATTATTATTTATTTTAAATGCATGTACTTGATTTCTGATTGTTTTCATTAGGTAAATCTTTATTTAATTTGAAAAAAATATTTTATTTTAATATTTTTGGGTGTCTGGAACGGATTAATTTTATTTCCATTATTTCTTATGGGGAAAATGGTTTCGAGTTTCGTGAATTTCGACCTTTGGAGGGCTCTCTGGAACGGATTAATCATGAAACTCGGGGGTCCACTGTACACTATATTTTATCTGGCAGCAAAACTGCCTGTCAATTACTTACAATGGATATTTTTAACTTTAGCAAATACTGGTACACTTTATTTATGAGGAAAAAAAATGCTCTATATCTTACAATAGGCAAATGGAGGGTTTCAATTTCCCATTCTTGCATGTCAGTGTCAATAGCTGAGTCGCGAGAATGGTTATGTGCTGCCAGTTGACGTACCACAGCTGCCTTCTCCTCTTCTGCTTCTAATCTCTCCCTGAAATCATTAATTTTTTTTTTTTTAAGCAATAGGGTAGTACAAAAAAATGCAGCACACAATTATTCATATTATGACATTGAGATAAATTACAGGCTACTTCATTTACTTTTTGTGATTGTGTTGAATATTGACAAATACATCAAACAAGAGAGACAATAAAAATTGAATAAATGCCAAGTGTTAAATATTTCAAGTCTAATGATTTCCAAACAACATACAGCACCTGTGGAATGAGAAGGTACTAAGGTTTGATCAAATGAACAAAAGGCAGCTCTAGTTCCCTGGATCAAAAGCATTTTACCAGCATCGAGACACCTCCCTTAAAGAGGTACACACGATGAGTTCAATCTTAACAGTGAATTACTGTGCCTGGTGAGATAACAGGTAGACCACAAGAGTCTTAAACTTCAAAACTCTTCAAAATGGATTAACTTAACCATGAAAAACAACAAAAAAATACAGAATGTATCTAGAGTCTTCAGCAAAATAAATCCCTTACTTCAGTTCCTTCAGTTCTTTTGAGGTTTCGTTACGTTGCTTTTTAATGTCATCCGAGTCCCGTAACGCTATAGCTAATTCAGACACGGCTCTGTCACGTTTCCGTCGCAGCTCATCACAGTGGGCTCGTATGGACTCTCTCTCTTGAACAATTTTGTCTCGTTCACTGAAGGCCCAATCACGGCGTCGCTTGGATACCTCAGCCTCTTGTTGTGCCTCTGTTTAAAATTATAGGAATTTCAACTGTAAATATATCAATAATAATTAAATACAGTATATATAATATATATATATATATATATATATATATATATATATATATATATATATATTTATACACACATGCACACATATATATATATATATATATATATATCCTAGGTAGTAGGTTGGTAGACAGCAACCGCCCAGGGAGGTACTACCGTCCTGCCAAGTGAGTGTAAAACGAAAGCCTGTAATTGTTTTACATGATGGTAGGATTGCTGGTGTCCTTTTTTCTGTCTCATGAACATGCAAGTTTTCAGGTACGTCTTGCTACTTCTACTTACACTTAGGTCCCACTACACATACATGTACAAGCACATATATACACACCCCTCTGGGTTTTCTTCTATTTTCTTTCTAGTTCTTATTCTTGTTTATTTCCTCTTATCTCCATGGGGAAGTGGAACAGAATTCTTCCTCCGTAAGCCATGCGTGTTGTAAGAGGCGACTAAAATGCCGGGAGCAAGGGGCTAGTAACCTCTTCTCCTGTATATATTACTAAATGTAAAAGGAGAAACTTTCGTTTTTCCTTTTGGGCCACCCCGCCTCGGTGGGATACGGCCGGTGTGTTGAAAGAAAGAAAAGAATATATATATATATATATATATATATATTATATATATATATATATATATATATATATATATATATATATATATAAATATATAAGTAATTTGACCACAGAAAGGTAAAATAAATTTAAAGCACATTCTCAAGAAATACATTATGTTCTTGAGATTGTGAATGAAAAATGGAAACGTCTGGACTTTATTTCCCTTTCACTTAATATACACATTTTATGTAATTTTCTGACATACAATACATAAATACACACACACACACACACAAACACAGTATACCTGTATAAAAAAATGCTTAATTAAACTTTGTAAAGAAAGGAGTTCAGTTATAGGTAATATATATTTTAAGAAAAAGAGGATAGATAAGTATACAAGAAATGATGTAGGGTGTAATGACAGTAGTTTGTTGGACTACATACTGGTAGATAAAAGACTCTTGGGTAGACTTCAAGATGTACATGTTTACAGAAGGGCCACAGATATATCAGATCACTTTTTAGTTGTAGCTACAGTGAGAGTAAAAGGTAGATGGGATACAAGGAAAATGAAAGTAGCAGGTAAGAGAGAGGTGAAGGTTTATAAGCTAAAGGAGGAGGCAGTTAGGGTAAGATATAAACAACTATTGGAGGATAGATGGGCTAGTGAGAGTATAAGCAATGGCGTTAGAGACATATGGGGTAAGATTAAGAATGTAGTGTTAGTGTGTTCAGCAGAAGTTTGTGGTTACAGGAAAGTGGGTGTGGGAGGGAAGATGAGCGACTAGTGGAATGATGTTGTAAAGAGATTAGTAAGAGAAAAAAAGTTAGCATATAAGAGGTTTTTACAAAGTAGAAGTGATGCAAAGAGGGAGGAGTATACGAAGAGGAAGAGAGAGGTTAAGAGAGTGGTGAAGCAATGTAAAAGAGAGGAAATGAGAGTGGGTGAGATGTTATCAACAAATTTTCTAGAAAATAAGAAAAAGTTTTGGAGTGAGATTAATAAGTTGAGGATGCCTAGGGAATGAGTGGATTTTATAATTAAAAGTAGGAGAGGAGAGTTATTAAACGGAGAGTTAGAGGTATCAGGAAGATGGAGGGAATATTTTGAGGAAGCTGTGATTTCATGTATAGAGCAAGGAGGAATAACATTTTGTAGGAATGAGGAAGAGCGAGTTGTGAGTGTGGGGGAAGTTAGTGAGGCAGTGGGTAGAATGAAAAGGGGCCTTAGACAAGGATGTGTGATGTCACCATGGTTGTTCAATGTATTTATAGATGGGGTTTGTGGCATGCAAAGAGTACGTAACCTTTATTCGGCGCATGTACACACCCTCATTTTCAGACTATCTCCCCCAACCAGAGAACCAGGTTACTGAGAGTTGACGATGGGGCCTCGTTGTTCAACTAGTGACCAGGTTCCAGCCAATAAGAAGATGGTTTTGGCAATCGCAAAGGTTATGTGGGTACCACTCTCCTGTCTGCCCTTGTCATTCCCATTCTAGAGCTGGTTGAAGCACGGTCTGCTTTCTTGTGGCTTCTATTCTGCCTTGCTTACCGTGGTGTGCACTATACTTATCACTGTACATAGTGTACATATTGCTGGTGAAGGACAATATAAGTCAAAACTTTTCTGCTGTGTTTATTTTGCTCCCTTTACACCCAGGATAACAGGCCATTTGGACTCCTGAGTTGTAATATGGGGGCCTGTCCGGGAGCTGGAGCTGGACTTAGAGAAACGGTTGAGCTTAGGGTGAAGCTCGTAGCAGGAACATTGTGCAGCTTGCTGTCTGATACTGCATCAGCTTTGCCAACGCTTTACAAATTTTGCATGTCAGTTGCTTTGTTATGGTCAGCCTTGCTATTGTGTGATCGTTCAACAGCTCACTACTAGCTTGTTCGGTGTGCTTGCTTCGCCATGGTCAATCTTGTAGAACAGTGTGTAGCTTGCTGTCTGGCATTGCTTTACAAATTTTGCGTGTCAGTTGCAGTCAACTTTGCTATTGCGTGTCCACCTTGTATGCGTATTCTGCAATCATACTGTGCATAGCTAAGCGTGTTCTGCAAATTAACGTATTACGTTGTTTTTTTTTTTTAGTGAGGGGATGTGGGCTACCGTCCGCCTGTATCTTGGACCTATGCTAGCCCGACTGACTACTGTCTCACTCTGAGTTTAGGGTTTGGCTTTTGGTCACGAGAAAAGCTGAGCTCTATCTAAGAGTTGGATGGTGGAGAGGAAAGGCGGTCCCATTATTTTGTGCCATGGCGGCACGGTTACCACTGGGAGGTGGCAGCCTAATCCTGAGCCTTCTCGGGGTGGGGGTGTGGCATGCAAAGAGTACTTAACCTTTATTCGGCACATGTACACACCCTCATTTTCAGGCTATCTCCCCCAACCAGTGAACCACGTTACTGAGAGTTGACGATAGGGCCCCGTTGTTCAACTAGTGACCAGGTTCCAGCCAATAAGAAGATGGTTTTGGCAATCGCAGAGGTTATGTGGGTACCACTCTCCTGTCTGCCCTTGTCATTCCCATTCTAGAGCTGGTTGAAACACGGTCTGCTTTCTTGTGGCTTCTATTCTGCCTTGCTTACCGTGGAGTGCACTATACTTATCACTGTACATAGTGTACATATTGCTGGTGAAGGATAATATAAGTCAAAACTCTTCTGCTGTGTTTATTTTGCTCCCTTTACACCCAGGATAACAGGCCATTTGGACTCCTGGGTTGTAATAGGGTTGTAAGAGAAGTGAATGCTCGAATGTTGACAAGAGGTATGGGGTTAAAAGATAACAAATATAACACAAAGTGGGAGTTGTCACAGTTGTTCTTTGGTGATAAAACTGTGCTTTTGGGAGATTCTGAGAAGTTGCAGAGGTTGGTGGAGTACGTAAAAAAAGAAAACTAAAAGTGAATGTAGGAAAGAGTAAGGTGATGAGGATAACAAAAAAAATAGGTAACGAAAGACTGGATATCAGACTGGAGGGAGAGAGTATGGGGGAGGTGAATGTATTCAGATATTTAGGAGTGAACGTGTCTGCAGATGGGCCTATGAAAGATGAGGTGAATCATAGAACTGACGAGGACAAAAAGATGAGTGGTGAACTGAGAAGTCTGTGGAGACAAAGAACTTTGTCTATGGAAGCAAAGAGGGGAATGTATGAGAGTGTAGTTATACCAACACTTTCATATGAGTGTGAAGCATGGGTGGTGAATGTTGCAACAAGGAGAAGGCTGGAGGCAGTGGAGATGTCATGTATAAGGGCAATGTGTGGTGTGAATATAATGCCAATAATTCGTAGTTTGGAAATTAGAGGAGGTGTGACATTACCAAAACTATTATCCAGAGGGCTGAGGAAGGGTTGCTGAGGAGGTTCAGACATGTAGAGAGGATGGAACAAAATAGAATGAGTTCTGTACTGTATAAATTTGCAGTGGAGGGAAGGCGGGGTAGAGGTCGGCCTAGGAAAGGATTTTCCTTAGGAAAATCATCAAAATTTAATATTTCTACTACTTTGAGCCATATTTCAAGCTGCTTCCAGGCCAGAAAATTACCAATATCACCTTTATTTCATCTGTATTTCTTCCATTCAATCAACAGGCACAGCTCTACTCTTGTAACTACAAACAGTTAATTACTCATAGGGATTTACACATGTATACATATCTATTAATCTTAAAAAATGTAAGATATTTTTTTTTTACGTCAATGGTTATATCCTACCAAGGGTGACCCAAAGAAGAAACACATTCACCATCATTCATTCAACTGCTGTCTTGCCAAAAGAGTGCTGACATTACAACTCAAAATAAGTACATACATTATAATAATATAAATCTTCTGCTGTGAAATGTTGTTAAAGTAAAACAAGCATACAGTGTAAATTTGGACACTTAAAATAAAATATTCAAAAAGCTGAACAAAGTTCAGTCCATTTACAATTACAAGTAACTAATATGTGTGCAAATTTTACAAAGAAAATTACAACACCTGCCAATTTTCAGAGCATGTGAATTAATTAAATATTTTAAGCATAGTATAATGTTTCCTATGCTCAATTACAAAAAACATTAATATATTTACTATATATGAACTTTACCTCTAATATTCTATACTTACTATACATGAACTTTACCACTTGTATATTACATACTTAACAGAATACCAAAACAAAAATATTTAACATATTTATAATTGAGTGATGAAATTCTTCCATGCGAAGAACATATTTCAAAATTCATACATATTTGGCTAACTTGTTCCTCCTAAACAACTTCCGTTCCTCATGAAGGTGATGACATCATGCAAAGTTATCTATAAAAACACTTCAACCGCATTCACTTGCTAGACACTTCCATAAACATTTCAAACACTTATTACCATGGCCTTCATGCTGCT